GATCCCAACACTGCTTCCTGCAGCAGACTGGAGGTCCTCTGGGTGGTGTCTTGGCCAAGGATGGATCAGGCATGAGCCTGCCTGTGAGATCTGGTAAGATCCTGGTGATAGCAGCTGCAGCAAGGACTAGGTCACTAGGCTGGGAGAGGTTGTGGGTTCCATCCTCAGTAACTGATGCTTGTGTAATTGACAGGTCACCCAAAAACTGGATCTCCGGGGCAACAACATAAAAATCATCCCTGGGGGAGCTTTCCTCCCTATCCCATACCTCACCCACTTGAACCTGCAGCGATGCAACCTGGAGAGTATTGAGGAAGGGGCTTTCAGGGGACTAGGAAGACTGATCTACCTCAACCTGGCTTCCAACAATATAGCCTTCATCTACCAGGAGTCCTTGGATGGTCTCTCTTCTCTCCAGCAGCTCATCCTGGAGAAGAACCGCCTAGAAGAGATAAAACCAGGGGCTTTCAGCCAACTGGGTTTCCTCAACTTCCTCAACCTTGGTGAGAACTTCCTGGTCTACCTGCCGGATATGGTCTTCCAGGGGCTGCAGCTGATCAAGTGGCTCCGCCTGTCCCATAATGCACTTCATGTCATAGCCACCGAGGCCTTTGCTGGGTTGCCTGCCTTGCGGAGGTTGAGCCTGGACTACAACGAATTGCAGTCCTTGCCCACAGAGGCCCTGTCGAGGCTGTCAGGTACCACCCGGCTGGATCTGGGACACAACCCTATCACCTATATCAGCGAGGAGGCCATTGAGATGGCTTCATTAAAGCAGCTGTTCTTGGACAACATGGCCCTCCAGGATGTGTCACACAAAGCCTTTGTGAAGAGCCCCCTGCTGCATACACTTGACCTCCACAACAACCAGCTGCAGGTGCTGCAGCCGCTGACAGAAACCACCCACCTGAAGAAAATCAACTTAACAGGGAACCCGGTGGTTTGCTCGTGCTACATGCGGCCCTTCAAGGAGTGGATGGAGAAAGCGAGGGTCCAGGCTGATGTGCCATGTGCCAGTCCGGATGCCTTCAGGGGTGAGCAGCTGGAGTTGCTGAGGTCCGTTGATATGAAATGTGGGGGCCCTGCCCTGGAAGCAGAGCCGCTCCCCAGCCCAGCTGCCCCCAGGAGGAAGCCCGAGGGAGATGTTAAGACAAAGTGTCCAGAAGGCTGCACCTGCTCCCCTGATTTCCAGCACAGCAACTGTGAGAACCGAGGTCTCCGGAAGATCCCCAGGGGGTTCCCTACCAACACCCAGCTCCTGGACCTGCGCCGAAATGAGTTCCACTCCATATCCAAGGGATCCTTCCCCAGCTTGAAGAAGCTGGTCTCACTACACCTGCAAAGCTGCAAGATCATGGAGCTGCAGCCGGGTGCCTTCCAGGGCTTACAGAAGCTGGTCTACCTCTACCTCTCCAACAACAACATCACTGCTATAGACAAGGCTGCCTTTGACGGGGCCCCCCAGCTCAGCTATCTGTACCTGGACCACAATGGGTTCACTCGGGTGCCCAGAGGGGCCTTCAGCCTCCTACCCAACCTCTTCTCCTTCCACTTACAGCATAACTCCATCCGCCAGCTGTCAGACAGCGACCTAGCTGGGGCAGGGCAGCTCCGCTGGGTCTACCTGAGTGGGAACCACATCACTCGTGTGTCCCCCAGGGCCCTGAGCCCGGCCAAGATGCTAGAGAAGCTGCACCTGGACGAGAACCTGTTGCAGGAAGTGCCCACCGGGTCCCTCCGGGGTTTGCCTGCTCTTAGTGAGCTGAAGCTATCCAAGAATCCCATCAAGTGTATTGGGGATGGAGCCTTTCTCCCAGTGGCCAAGTCCCTGCAGCACCTGTATCTGGATAGCCTGGGGCTGGAACAGGTGAGAGGGAGGGAGCTGGGCAAGCACCCCCAGTGGGGGAAGCTGAATCCTGCTACACAAGTTACCGTTCAATCGCCTCTCTTCTCTGCTCCCGCTGCAGCACGTTCTAGGGCTGTGTCTGGGCCAGACGAAGGGGCTTCCCCACCAAGGGAATGGCCCCAGCACTGGGGCCTGCAACACTTCCCTGGGGACATGATTGCTCAGCCTGAGACTTCACTTGAGGGAAAAGCTTCCCCATGGCCTGAACTGCACCTTTGTTCAGTTTCAGCCTGTTACTCCCAGTGAGAACGGCCCCCGGGCCTGCCCTAAACAGTCCCTCTCTCGCCCTCCTTTCACAGGGCCCAGACCCTCTCTGTGGCATTGCTCAGCCAGGTTCCAGGCTCTTCATGCCTTGATCCAAAGCCAAATGACAGTCAATAGAGACTCCCGTTGTTTTCAGTGCTCTGTGGATCCTGCCCTAAGCTCCTGCCCCTGCCCCAAATCATTGATGCTTTTTTCGTCCAATTTGTCAGTATTTCTTGTCCTGTGGAGACCTACTCGGAGGGGTTCTCCTCTCCTGCCCACCTGTTTCTCTTCTCTCAAGCATCTTTTGGCTGGATGAGGATCAAATCACCATCATCCAGCCAAAAGCCAACGCTCCTTTCTCTGCTCACAAGGCCACATCTGGGGCCTCCCATGCTGCTTTCCCAGCCCCGGGGAAGGAGATCACCAATCCTGGGAGCAGGGCAATTGCCTGGCCAGTCAATGAACTGATCCGTGTTACTTTCAAAACCCAGAACCAGGCCAGTGCAGAGCCCAGAGTTTCTCTTGTTTGCAGAGAAGAGAGCAGAACGCGCCTCTGCCGAATGCTCCCTGCCTTTTCAGTGGAAGTTTAAGCACATTATGGAGGCCCCAAAATGCCACCCAAATGAGTTATGTGAATTAAAGGGGTCGCCTCAATTTTTCATAGCCTGGAACCCTTGTTCAGCTGCTTGTACCTGAGTCTTTTTTCCCTTCCGGGATGGTTTCCACAGCCCCTCAAAGACAGCGCTGCAGGCATTGCATTGGTGGTTACTGAGGTGCCTGGAAGCTGGAGAGCACCTTGGGCATTAGGGACCGACAAAAATGGCAAACTCAACAAAGTGGAGATGGGAAAGTGGAGAGGGCTGACAAGTCCTGCCCGAGAGCAAGTTAAAATGGGCCATTGGCTTCACGGGAAAGTGGAGAGGGCTGACAAGTCCTGCCTGAGAGCAAGTTAAAATGGGCCATTGGATCCACAAAGTCTTGCAAGTGGAAACCCTTTAACTCTACGGCTCTGATCCAACTAGGCACTTACAACTTGAGTAGTGACCTTGAAAGCGACACAACTTAAAGTTAAGCACTTGCTCAAGAGCTTTGGACTGGGGCCTGTTTAAGATGACAGTCAGCTTGCCAGGCACTGAAAAAGTCCCTACAACTGGCTCATTTCAGTGCCTTGCCATTGTTAGAAGACGACTTGCAGGAATGAAAAAAGCCCGTCGAGTTCTGTCGACATGAAGACGACTTGCAGGAATGAAAAAAGCTATCCTAAGTGCAAGGCATCCAGTTGCCAGAAAGAACAAAACATCAAATTGAAAACGGGTGTGCAATACAGTTATTGACAATCCCACACCTATTTGTCTACTGCCTTATATCTAGCCTGCATGTTCAAATGCAGAACAGGTAAGGGCCCCTGCTGCAAAGCGCTTAATGTCCAGGGGAAAAAAAATCAAAAGTAAGTAGTAAGCTGCCAACTTGAGTTTGACGTAGGTTCAGACATACAGGGTGTGTCTAGACTACAGGGTTTTGCTGATAAAAGTGGACTTTTGTTGACAAAACTATACCTGCATCTGCACTACCGCCGAGTTCTGTCGACATAACTCAGCAGTTTTGTCGACGGCAGTAAACCTCATTCTACGAGGAATAACACCTTTTGTCAATCGTTCTGTCGACAGAAGGCGTTATTGCAATTACACTGTCCTGTGTCTACACTCTCATGTCGACAAAGAGGCTTGCTTTGTCAACAGAACTGGATGTAGTCTAGATGCTTTTTGTCGACAGAAGCTTTGTCAACAGTATCTGTCAACAAAGCCTCTGTTGACAAAAACCTTTGCTGATAAAAGTGGACTTTTGTTGACAAAACTATACCTGCATCTGCACTACCGCCGAGTTCTGTCGACATAACTCAGCAGTTTTGTCGACGGCAGTAAACCTCATTCTACGAGGAATAACGCCTTTTGTCAATAGTTCTGTCGACAGAAGGCGTTATTGCAACTACACTGTCCTGTGTCTCCACTCCCATGTCGACAAAGCGGCTTGCTTTGTCAACAGAACTGGATGTAGTCTAGATGCTTTTTGTCGACAGAAGCTTTGTCAACAGTATCTGTCAACAAAGCCTCTGTCGACAAAAGCCAGTAGTCTAGACGTACCCACACAGTGCAACATTTCAGTAGGTCAAGCATATCCAGGCTGTCAGAGCCATCAAAAGGAGTTACCATTTAACACTAAAGAGTCAGTACCACAATTACATTGACCAACAGAGAACTCTCTTTACGCAGTAACTTCTCTTACATTGAGCTCCTGCACTTCCTTTGTCTCAAATTATGTCATCCAACTGAACTTCCTGCAGGGAAGTATTGTTACAAAGTGACAGTAGCACCAGCCTCATTCACAGTGGAGTCAGAAACCAATGTGAGCTAATTAGCCCCCACACGCAATCAGAAAGGGCATGCACATTCTTAACTCCCTATTCAAATCATCGACTTGTCATTTTCCTTTGCTTCAACAGCCCCGTCTCATCATTTGCAGGTTTCCGCAAGGGCCTTTGTTGGCCTGGGTCCCAGGCTGAAGAGTCTGTACCTGGAGAACAACAAAATAAATAACGTGCCGGACTTGCGCAGCTTCACAGGGCTGGAGGTCATCAACCTGAGAGACATCCCCTTCCACTGCAACTGCCAGCTCCTCCCACTGCGCAGGTGAGCCACGGCTATACTCCAGCAGCCTGGCTGGGGCACAGTGATAGGAGGCTGAGGCGTTCTGCTCAGTTCCTGCTGGGAAGGTTTGTACCACTGAAAATATCATCCC